CGTAATCTCGAGTGGGATCCAGTCTATCGTCTAGTCTGATTGATTTAGCCATGGTGCCGCCAGACATGATATGGCGACAGATCCCGTACGATATTATATCTGGTGCAGTGAGCATTGCTCACTCTGAAATTTTCATGTCGTCGCCGACTTCCTCCGATGGAGATTTCTTTTCTTCGTCGTCGTCGTCCTCTTCGTCAGCTTCCGCCACATCGACGAATCTTCTGATGGAGTAGCTTCCATTTATTGGAAGAATGATCGAGCGCCTCTTATTCAACGTAGTGGTCCGTTTCTGAATTCGTGCTCTTTTGATTCAGCAAAGGTCCATCTAAATTCGGTGTAGCTCTAAAATTGTCCACCCTGAGCATACTTACTCCTCTCGCCCTGTCTTCTGTCGCGTACAGATTTTGTCGAGCCCGTTATTTCAGACCGCTGCGAGATGACATGGGTTGAAAAATCCTTAGTGAAACCAAGAAATCTGCTGGAGGGGTACCCCCGACAGAAGTATGAATCTGTGGGGTGACCTTGTTCTATGGTCATTTATTAATTAGCCGAAATCTGTCCGAAATCGTGGGCTACATATCCTGTCCAATATTTAACGCCCAGAAATGGAAATGCACATACAGCTTATACCCTCGCAAACGCGGTCTTACTGCTTTCAGTCTTTTCAGCCAGAAACTTACGTGGCTCCGCCCAGAAACTGAAAACTACTTCCTGCTTATAACCTTTCAAAATCGGCTGTATCAGGCTTAGCATATTTAGGAGGTGATGTCTGTCTCACGCAAATGTGGTTCACACTAACTGTTTGAATTTCGAATCCTCCCGCCAATTGCATCATTGCACGTCTTCGAGCAGAGCAGAACATGACGAAAGGCACAAAAGGTCTCTGGCTAACTATCAACCAGAAGTGCAAGGTTATTGAAAAACATGCCCGGAGCTTGAGATCCAGCTTGGCGAGTTTGTGATGGAGTGTCAGAGTGCTCATGTCTGTCTTTCTCGTCGGCTCATTACGAATAAGGGTTAGCGTATTATGGCGAGCCTAAAGCACCCTCCTCCTCTGAAACTATCTGACGGGTGGATGTCGCGCTTCATGAAGCGTCATGGCCTTCGATTTCGAACCATGCATGAGGAGGCAGGATCTGTGGAGGCTGACATTATTCGCGAAGGGATGATGGCGATGCAAGATATTACTCGTCATTACGCGTTGCGAGACATCTGGAACATGGACGAAACTGGGCTCCTGTATCACTCGGCAAAGACGAAGGGCATATGCATGAAGAGCACTCCTGGTCTAAAAAAAGACAAACCGAGAATAACGGTGGCGTTGGCGGCTAACGCTGACGGATCTGAGAAGCGTCCAGTTTTCTACATCGGAACAGCTCTACGCCTTCACTGCTACAAGGGAAAGTATGGAGATGAACTCGGCTTCTACTACCGGAATATTACTAAAGCGTGGATGACGCGGACTTTGTACACAGAGTGGATCAAGTTATTTGATAGCGATATGCGTGCAGCAGGCAGAGACATTCTACTGTTAGTCGACAACGCAACGTCTCATGAACTTCAAAGCGGTGAGCTCACCAACATCACTGTGCAAAAGTTGCCGCCAAACACTACATAATATCGTAAGCCAATAGACGCCGGAATTATTGCGGCAGCAAAGAGTGGTTATCGCGATAGGCGCATGAGTTTGGCGTGCGATAGGGCTGACAAGTCGATGCCACACAAGGCTCCACGTTGACCAATTGCAAGGAATGAAGTGGGTTGACAAAGCATGAGACGATATCACTCCAGAGACAATTCGCCACTGCTTTATGAAGAGCGGGATAGTATTTTCAGAGGAGAAGGAGAACAACCCTCCCCCCACGCGTCGACACCAAGTGAGAATGAGCGACGTTTTAATTTGACAAATAAATGTGAGACATTTTCATTGTGATATTACATATTCGGTACATAATTTATAACCTGGGGGAACTTTGAAGGTCCACCCTTTTCAGTTTCTGGGCGGAGTCTGTAAATGTTTGTCTAAATCCACCTCCCCGAATATAATCGCACTTCCAAATCAACTCTCCCCGACTCAAGTGATGGGCGAAGCATTTCAAATCCTTGGCTTTCTTGGGTCACTGGCAGTAGCAGTGACTCACTGCTACTGGCGGCGTCGCTGGTGCCCCAGGCGATGAAATTGTACAAGACCAAGAGCGCGAAAGACATCAGCTTGTCATA